CACCTTCCCAAGTCCCTCCAGGAAGAAAAAGAAAAAGCAGTTCATCATTACCCTTGGTTTGAGGTCTAACTACAGAGGCAGAAAAGCGCCTTAAAAAGTGTTTCTGTTTTACTGGCACCGATCATTAAAGGGGGTACAGCACACGCGTGGCAATACGTGTCTTATTTCATATTTAACTCCAGTGTTTCCGTTTTAATGAGCCAGTGGGGGGGGGGCGGGTGGACGCTGGGGATAGGTCATCTGTAACTGCCTCTGCCACCCCGGCTCCTCCTGGCTCTTCGCGTCTGTGCTGCTTCTAAGGTAACGCACACGGAACGTATGGACTGCGCTCCCAGGAGCAGAAAGCACCCGCCTCTGCTACCCAAGACCCTCCTCCAGTGACACCGGCAGAAACTTAGCTCAATGAGGTTTTTTTGGAAACAGTGACACGAAAAGCCTGTGATAAAATGGGCCTGCGGGAGGCTTCGCATCTCTCCGTAGCGTTCTCTAGTCATTCCAGGGGCCCCAAGAGCCAGCCGACTTGGGTTAACTAAAATGCGACCTAAAATATCCTCTCACCTTCCTACGTAACTTTAATAGATTCCCTCCGCTGCCCCCGCCCCGGAGGTGTAATCTGCTTTTCAACAATCACAGGAGCTCAATCGTTAGTGACAGGGTGTTGACACCTGCCTTGCCTCGGCCATTCCCGAGGAAGCGATGGCCAGTGTTTTCAGTTCATCTGGACACCGAGATTACACTTGCATTTTCACATGAGGCCTCTTTTCTCTTATCCACTAAAGCCACGTGTGCAGGAAGCCGAGCCCCTCAGCTGGCTGCGTATTAGAGCGAACGCTGGAGCCCGGGGCAGCTTTTCCTGAGTGTTCGGGGAAGGACGGAGCGCTCCTAACCGCCTGCTCCCTTCGGAGATTACGACCAAGAGCTAAGGGGAGGCACCAGGACATGACCTGGGCCCTGGGGGTCAGGTGAGGACAAGCTGGATGCACCCAGCTCGGTGGGAAGTCTCTCAAACACAAGAGATGGAATATTCACGACAGAAGACTCAGTCATCTCACCTGATAAAACGCTTCCCCCACCCACGCCCGTCACACGCCCCCCAGTTCTCAGCGCTGGGAAACACCGCCCCTGATGGCAGAGAGGGAACTGGTTTCTCACTGTAAGTGGGTCAGCAGGAACCTCGGACTGGACCAGCCGAGGAGGCCAGAGAAACAGAAAAGCGCGGGCCCCGGGGAGCCCTTCCCATCGTCCCGCTTCCTGCGGGGAGTGTTTAGATGGCCCAGGGCCTCGGGCCTCCATCTTTCTGGGGGCTGAGCTGCTGCTCTTAGGAGAGGTGCTAATTGCAGCTTCTTCCCTACTAGACGCCCTCACAAGGCCCGTCGCGCCCGCGCCCCAGGGCTTTCTGGGTCTTTCTCCCAGGTGCCGGGAGGGGACGGCCACACAGCCTCCTGTCCTCCGAGGGTTTAAGAACATCCCATCCTCAAGAGCATCAGCAGAAGGGCCGGGTTCTTTAGACAAGAAACCCACACCCTCAGGACAGCTGCACTGGCCCAGCCGGCGTGGCTCAGTGGTTGAGCGTCGACCTAGGAACCAGGAGGTCACGGTTTGACTCCGGTCAGGGCACATGCCCGGGTTGCAGGCTCCATCCCCAGCATGGAGCGTGCAGGAGGCAGCCGATCCATGGTTCTCTCTCATCACTGATGTTTCTATCTCTCTCTCCCTCTCCCTTCCTCTCTGAAATCAATAAAAATATATTTTTTTTAAAAAAGAAAGAAAAGAAAAGCTGCAGTGGGCCCACAGGGAAAACCCACAGCCCCCCGCTTAGCGCCTCATAAAGCAGGGATTTCCATGTGCACGGAGACTTCCTGCCCAAGCCGCCGGCGGGCGCAGCCCCCTCTCAGGGACCGGGTTTAAGGCAGAGGGAGGAGGCAGGGCAGTGACAGCAGACCCGCTGCCTCCCGGGGGGGCTGGGAGAGAAACCGTACCCTGCTGGCAGCTCTCCTTAGAAATGTGTTTTCTTTACAAGAAAATGACAACTTTAAGGGGGAGAGGAGGGAGCGAGCAGCCGCTGCCCACACAGACTATGACTTTAAATTTAATTATTGGAAAATTACCCTATTCAGGCCAGAAAGAGAGAGGAGGAGGACGAGAAGGAAAATAAGAAAATAGCGACTGAAGCCAAGAGGGGGTTATATAAGTGGGAGGGCGAGGCATCGACGGGCACCGAAGGATTCCACCGGCCACGCGGAGACCCAGAAACACGCGCTGCTTCGGGCCCCACCACGGGGCTCCGGGTACCCACCACGACGCGGGCTGTACCAGCCTCAGCCGTGACCTGGGCCAGGTGCTCACGGACCGGCTCCACGTCCCACACCCGCGCTGCCAAGGGCAGGGCCTCCCCTCGGGTCTGACAGCGGCCGGCCTCCATCAGGGGGTGCAAGCAGACGGCCCCCACTCCTGGGCAGTGTCTGACCTCGAACCCCGCTGTGCACACAGAAACGCATGACCGTTCCCATCAGCCGCCGCGGCGAGGATTTAGGCTTTGCCGACTCGCATGCACCCACAGCAGAGTGGGATTCGAGTGAAAGAGGGGGGGGCACGGCTGGCAACTGCCCGGGCCCTGATCGCCACAGGAATCTAGAGTGATGGGCAACACGCCCCTGGGAATAAAGTCGCGGGGAATATGCGCAGAAGGACATGTGGACGGAGGGGGAGAAACTCTGAACAAGGCCTGAGTAGAGGTGGGCGTGGCAGAGAGCTCAACCAACACACACACACATGCACACACACACGTGTGCACACTGCACATACATGCACACTACATACAGGTGCACACTGCATGCATGTATGTGCACACACATGCACGCTGCATACACACACACACTCACACTGTATCTCCATGTTAGAAAAGTGGTTTCTGATCTGCCACCTGAGGACGTGGGTCCCACTGTCGTCCACGGGGCCACCGCTCGGCTGAGGGCACTGCACCCGCACGCCCCCTCCTCGCCTGCGGAAGCAGCCTCTCCCCGATAACACGAGGAAACGTGCGGAGAACGCGGGCACGAGGGCGACCCGGGGGGGATCAGTGCGGCCGCTGACGTTGCCCACGTGCCCTGACCGGTGCGGGCTCGCTCTCCTTCCTTCCCTGTCCTTGTTCCCCCAAATCAGAACTCACACCCCGCAGACCTCAGTTCCCTTTGAGACGAGCAAAATGCCCGGCCGGCGTGGCTCAATCGGTTGAGCGTCGTCCCATGCACTGGAGTCACCGGTTCGATTCCCGGTCAAGGCACAGGCCCGAGGTGCAGGCTCGATCCCCAGTAGGGGGCGTGCAGGAGGCAGCCAATTGATGTTTCTCTCTCTCCCTTCCTCTCTAAAATCAATAAAAAGGTGTGTTTTTTTTGTTTAAAGATTTACCCCAACAGGGATCCCCAATCAGGAAAGGGGGCTGGTACCCTGTGGGTAAAGAGTGTTTGGGGAGCTTTCATCCAGTCTCACGGGGAACGGCAGCTCATTCTACCCGTCGTCCTGATATCCTGCTTCTGCCTACACCCCAGGGACCCCCATGAGCCTGCCTTATGCTCACCTCCCCGAGCCACCGAGTTAATGCTGGGCCAGTGCCCTGCGGAGGGGACACGCTCAAGGACCTAAGGCTCCGTCCTGAGAAGATATTGCTCACGATTCACCCTTTAATGCGGCAGAGGAGGTCCCGGCAGCCGCTGCCCGCCCCAGCACCCTGTCTGCCATGGGAACCACTCGGCTTGGAGCAGGCTGGCAGGCTACCGCACAAGGAGGAGAGAGAGGAGGGAGGAGGAGCCCGGTGGAAGCTGGGCGTTTACTTGACAGGGAGGGGAGCCGGCGGGTGGACCGGATGCGCCCACAGTCCCGGCAGAGAGGGGCGCTCAGAAGGCCTCCTTGGTGCTGTTGAATTTCTTTGGGGGCAGCTGGGGGGAG